ATGGGGCTTTTCAATTACTTCTAGTCTTTCACCAGAAATTATAGAGACCATTTTTAATGCAAGATACTCCATGCTTGTGAGTGTTGGTAATTTTAATTGACAGTGCATTCTGAATCAAGTTTACTGCCCTTACCGTTTTTCTGCAGGCCCGACCCCAGCAACATTTAGGGTGTATGTGTGGGTAATTGCTGCTAAATATTCTTCAGTTTATGGTGTTTCTTTAGGGACGCATTCACTTGTGTCTTGTTTCCTGCATTCCTGTTTTGCTTTTGTCCTTAAAATCCCGTAAAGGGACTGGTGATTGGTGAATTACAGGCCTTATCATTGAGCCTTATCCTGTATGGATTTTTGCAACCAAAAGCTAGGTTACCTACCTAAGGTTGCATTCACTTAATTTCACTCTCAAGTTGTGCTGTTTCGTTTATTTCGTTGCAGGAGGCTGAGAGACTGCTCAGTCTTTGTACTGTGAGGGAGTTCACACCAAGTATGATAACTGTAATGCTAATTATAAAGATATAGGTATCATTTTAAAGCTTAGAAATTCAGCTTTTTAATGAATGTAATTATTTTGATAATCTCTTAAAGAGTGCTGAGTAGTCCCTCTAAAACAGAGTGTAAAAGTATAATTGTTTAGGGCTTTGACTAAACTTGAGTGAGTTTGAGTAAGACTTGAGTAAGTCACCCCCAGACCCATATGAAATTATATGGATGTGTCATTTATTTCACTTTATTGCTTGCAACTTCATAAAACATGCTCAGATCGTGGAAAAATACACATCATTATTTACTTGCAGTCAACAGTTGCACCTCAAAAGCTACTGAATGTACTTCAATCAGTCTAATGAGCTTAATAATTTTAAAATATCAAATAAATCTAAGAATGATATATTCAGCTTATTATGCATTATTATATGACATTTTCTGTAATCTGAATAAAATGAATGAATAAATAAAAATAATACATTGAAGCTAAGTTTAACGTGTTGTGCTATTTAAAACACATGACGAAGGAATGTTATCCAAAAATAATATTTTAATAATAAATCTACAAGGGATGCACACCGGAGAATCGCAATAGCAAATGTAGCACACACAATGTTAAAGCAAATAACTGGCAGATAGCTGAATAGAACAGGGAGTATAAATACTGGGTAAAGACATAAGACACACCTGAAACTAATACATCACCATCAAAATAAATTAGGACTCCTAGGAAACTAGGGCAACAAAACTAAACAGGGCAGGTGAACAGGAAGAAAGAAACACAACAAAATGTCCATAACTGTAACACTACGTTCATTTTAAAGTTAGATTTTTAGTGGCATTGCAGTCTTGCACTTAATGAGCTCTCAGTGTTGTTTAGTATTTGTTACGTCAATAATCTCTGCAAGTTGATCATTTGCCATGATTTCTTCTCTAGCCTGTGCCTCAAAATGACATTTCAATATCTCTCCACTAAGAACTGAGTTTATCTGAGAGGCATCCATCTATTGATCAGCATTGTATTACATTGTTCTTTCTTTTCCCTCCTTGCTGTTAGAGAGGTTTGTGTTTTACAAAAATAAAACTTTGTCTCTTCTAGATGCTTCTCAAGAATCACTGAACAGCACGGAACCCAAATCTACTGTATTTACTTTTACACATTTCCTGATCTTATTGTACTCAATGTATTAGTTATTACAAAGAAAAAATAAATGTTTGTCTCTGTAATCTTTCATCAATGTAATAACTTTGCCTCTAAAACTACTTTACTTTTCAGCCAAAGCTACAAATCCCTCTTAGTTTTCAGCCCTTTCTGTCCAACCGACTGCCTCCTTTCTGGTATCGGATGGCCAGTTTTCATGGTTGAATGAATTCCAGATGGATAAAAATTCAGTCCTGCCATAACTTTTTCCTCATTGAATTTCCTGTTTTACTAAGAATTAGTTTTCTGAGGCAAAATGGGTTTTAAATTGTGTTTTAGAGAACAGAACCTGAACGTTTTATCTTCATTTTTGAGTTTAATAATATAATTACGAAGATGACAACCAGTCTATGCTTGATAAAGCATCAACCTTTAAGTCTTTAAAAAATATGCAACACTATAAAGCTAAAGGTTTGGGGTTACCAGTTACCAGAGAAGGAATATACACCACCAACAATATTGGAACTATTGCAGTAATACATTAAAGGGCAGTCTAGACAACTGATTAGACTCTAATTGGAGATTAAGCTATTAGCTGGGTCTCAAGGACCACATTGATTTTGGGACCGACAATATAAGACTAACATTTTAGACATAATGACTTCTCAACTCTTTAAAAATTTTATGCACACGCTATGTGTACGATTGTATGTGACTTGTTATTTTGCTGTACTAAGCGTTATTCTATAATATACAGAAATACCTGGGTATTAACCCATTATAATATGTTGATTAAATAGGAGCAATATGAATGCCAAAGAGGCTAGAGGCTAGATACTTTTTTTTTCTCATTTTGTCTCTCATAGTTGAGGTATACCTATGATGAAAATTACAGGCCTCTCTCATCTTTTTAAGTGGGAGAACTTGCACAATTGGTGGCTGACTAAATACTTTTTTGCCCCACTGTAAGACTAACATTTTAGACATAATGACTTCTCAACTCTTTAAAAAGTTTATGCACACGCTATGTGTACGATTGTATGTGACTTGTTATTTTGCTGTACTAAGCGTTACTCTATAATATACAGAAATACCTGGGTATTAACCCATTATAATATGTTGATTAAATAGGAGCAATATGAATGCCAAAGAGGCTAGAGGCTAGATACTTTTTTTTTTTTTTGGTTACCATGCAGCTTGTTTCTTGGCATGGCTTCCATAGCTGAATAAAATGCACATATCTCATTTCAAAGGCCAAAACAAGTGTTTAGGGCTGTAGTTCCCCTTCGGGAACTCGAGCTGCATCGGAAAACGCTAGGGGAACGCCTTCAGCGATACCAAGCTCTGAATCATATGTATAATCAGTCGAACGATGGGGGAGACGTCCGCGGCGGGTGACGTCATGACCAGGAAGCTTTCTGTCATTCAGCGAACCTCTCTGTGTGTGTCGGTCACGATTTATGTTCTGTGAGTCTTATTTATTGTTGTCTGTCCAAAGTGCACAAGCATCCAATATAAGCTCCAGCAGAGAAAGAAAAGAAATGTCTAAGCAAAAGACAAAAAAGGGCGAAAGTAGATCGCGCTACAGACTGTGTGTTCCTCCTTGCCCACGCTACATCACGAGCGGGGATACACACAGTTTGTGCGTGGTCTGCTTGGGAGCAGAGCACGCGGCGTCGGCTCTCGAGAGGGC